GATATTATACTGAAAAAAAAAAAAAAAGCTGATGTATAAGGTTATAACTCCTAGGCCTATGTTGTCTTCCTATGCTGAATCACACTGCAAGAAAGGTTCTATGAGAGTGTGTGATCTGAAATATCACTTGAGATAAATGATAAACACTGTCTTATTGATGAAGCTGACACAAGAACTATGCCTGAAGTGAGTGCAATATTTAAGAATACCTAATATACAAAATTAATAATATTGAATATGCTTGTGCAATATCATACTCATGTCTCCTGCAAAGAACTGCAAGTACAGTTCTTGGAATAAGAACGATCTTTATTTAAACACCTGCCATAATTTTTTCTTTTCATTTTTACAGCACCAAGTCATCTCTGACTTTAAATCCAAGCTCAGTTGCAACCTGGTTTGCTAAAAAGTCAGAAGTTAATGTTTCCTTATTCCTTTTCATGAAAGTCAAACTTTTGAGTTTGCTTGCCCGATCCCTTCATTATTTGTGTTAATTATCCATTTACCATATATAGATATGATTCTGCAATGTTGAAAAGATCACAGTGTAGAAACAGTCAGCCCTAGGAAGATGAAAGGTAGTTCAAATAAATACTCTGCTCAAACACAGAAGAAAAATAACATAAACCTCCTAATGAGTCTTAGTCATGTTGAAGTGTTAGAGCCATAAAAGGAATGCAGTTTCACCCATCCACTGCATTTAGATGAAAGCTTACCACTAAGACCACATCATTTAAAGAGCAGTGTCCAGTAAATGACTAACACACTGTAACCCAAAGTGCACAGAAAAAATACAGTGGCAACAACTATGGAAGGAAATAGGTCAGAAAAGCCTAGAGACAGAACATTGAACCAATGCACGGGGCACCCAAATTCTCACTCAGACCAAGATGAGATCAAGCACCCCTGATTACCAGCCAGCCACAAGTTACCTGGAGCAGGAACCACTCCTACTGCAGACAGCTTAGAAGGAAAGGGAAAGGGTTTCTCTCACTTGCTGTTGCCAACAACAAATTCTCATTAGCAGCAAACTGCAGAGTCCTCCTCCTCCTGTGAAACCTCAGCCCTAGGGGAGGTCTCTTATATCACCTGTGACCGTGACATCTAAAGAAAATGAGTCACTGTCTGACTTTTGAACACGACAAAACCATGGAACAGTTTTAAGACTCCTACAAACACCATCTACACTTCAACATTCAGTGAAATCAGTCCTCAACTTCAGCACTTTTTGCCTCCCAACAAATGTAACTCCTAAATGTAAGCCTACTTCAGAACTCTACTTCAATGATGGTTGTGGTCCGTGAAGGGCACACTGCTTCTGGGTTTGAGAGCTTGAGACCTAAGCAGAAGCAGGGGCAAAGTCTGAGTCCCCAGCCCAAAGTGGCCTCTTCTCCCTTTCAGTATCCTTCATGCATGTTCCAAATTCAACTGTTTCCAGTGCTTGTAAAACAATCCCCAGAGAGCATAAAGGTTAGAATAAACAAGAAACAATCATAACCCTATGATGACTGTGCATGCAAACACATTAAGAGGTTATGGAAACAGAGATGTGGAATGGGAATACATCACCACCAAATCATCAGATATGGGGAGATTAATAAAATAGTAAAATGTATCCCCCCCAACAATAACCACTGCACCCACAGGAGGTGGCTGCAAAGAGAATTTTAGCACCAACTGGCCCTGACCATTGTTAGAACACAGCTGGAATAGCCATGCTTCTGCAAAAAAATGATTTTGACAAAGGTGTGTTTGCAGACCCAAAGCCATTTCCTGAGAAAACTTGTGACCAGCACTAATCAGTATATCCACGCTGTTAATTCTGCATAGAAAGCTGCACACTTAAGGCAATGAAAACAGGGACAGAGGATTAGAGGATTAATCAAATTAAAAGAAAATAATTATAAAAGGTTTATTTTTTTGGACCAACAGCCCTGTTGCTGCATTCCAATAAGAAATATAAAGGAAGTTAACTCTACATCTCATTAGAGAAAACTGGGGCTAAGGAGACCAAAAAAAAGATAGGAATATGTATGTTAGTAGCCAGAGGGAGACTGAAGTGGACAAAAACCTTCTGAACAAATGCAAAATATCCATGAGAATCAACATCCCCACCTGGGACAATCTTTGGGGTAGAGAGGGGAGGCAATTCTGGGCTCTGAGGTGCCACCTTCCAATGAGGCTCTGAGCCTTCAGCTCAGCCAGCCACCACAAGGAGTGGGGCTGGGGGCTCACTGCCCAGCTCACACAAATCCTGCTCCTGTTGCTTCATCACTGGGTTATGTTTTAGACCCTGCAAAAAGGCAACTTCTTACCTTTGATCCACCCCCTGGAGACTTGCTTAGTTTAAGAGCTGTTCTCTGTCCCTTTGGCAAATATTCTCTTCCTTAACCCTAAGAAAGCAACCCTGGTGTCTGCCAGAGCTGTGCTTAAGCAGACTCATTAAGGAAGGCCAAATGAAGCTTCCCATGACCCAGTACATTTCAGAGAAAGCACCAGGATCACAGGGCTAAACTAGTTTTTCTTGGCTATTGGATTTATTTTGGCTGTAACAAATATTTTGGCTTCCTTCCCTATCAGTTTGCCAACGAAAACACAGATCCAAGGTTTTCAGAGTCCAGGATTGTAGCAATTCTGAAAAATGACAAAGTGAAACACATACCAGCTAATAAAGAGCTATTCATGCTCTAAATATCCTCTTGTGCTGCTCTGCACAGAGTGTAGATCGGCTTCTGGAAATGTTGAACCTGTTTGCCCTACCACTGATCGTGTTCTGCAGCAAGTCACACGGATGCTTTCTTTACATGCAACCTCTCTGATTTCTAAGTAATTATTCCTCTCCCACAAAAACACAATGCTATCCTATTTTTTCTTACTATTTGAATTAAATAGACATTGGGGAACATAATTTACAGAAAAGGCTACCAAACATCTGTTCACACTGGAGATGGTAACCCAGTGTCATTAGGGGTCACCAAAGGTAACAACCTTATTTTTTTATCCTTCTCCATTAATATTGGAATGCTGTTATTGCAATTTAGTACTGCAATATTCCCTTCTCAAGGAATCCACTCACATGATTACCCTCTATAGACTGCAACCCCAGGCTTGTGGGGCTGCTTGTAGCAACGCTCCCTCCAAATGCCCACAAGTGCAGCAAGCAGAGGAACCCCAAACTGCCCATCTCCAAACCCTGCCCACAACCTGGAAATGGAGCTGCATCTTTCCAACAATGGATTTACCTACAATACCAATTCTGTCCTTGGAAATTAGTCAATTACTCCAGCACTGCTATATGAATCGACAAATCAACTCACACTATTTAGCTAAACAGACCTCTGTAGCTAAAGACAAAAGATGTGGAAAAGAAAAACTTACTTGTACACACTTCTTGCCCTAAGGACCTTAAATTGAGATCTCATTTCTCAGTAGGTGCCTACCACATGAGTGAAAAATGAAAAGTATCTCACTACTTTAAAAACCAGTGGGGAAAAAAGAATCAGATACTCAGTTAAAGATATCCCAGCACTCAAGGCCAGGAGTGAGGTAGGGTGGATTATATGACTCTTCTGCTATGTTAATCATTCTGGGTATACAACTCAATGCTTTGGTGACAGAGGTACCAACTGGCAAAACCTTTTTCTTGCCCAGAATCTAAACACCACTCTTTTGCTTTCAGACTATGGAGACTCACAATTTTTATCCTGCAGGATGACCAGACACAGTAAAGGAAATCATACACAGAGATGAGAGAAGGTGCAGATTTCTCTGGCTAAATAATTCATAAATTTGACAGCTTTTCTATTCTTTCCTTTACCTCAACCTGGAATCTGAATTTTATACACTAAGTAAAGTTTATAAAGTCATATAAGTTGATGTATAAGAGGAAAACACAAGGTGCTTTAGTGATTTGATGCATTATTAATGCAGCAATGGCTACTGGTGTTTTATCTGAAACAGAGCTTCACACTGATTTCTGCATCAGCTACTTTACTATATGCTTCCCTAATGAAAGCATATAAAGAAGGTGTCTGACTTCTCAAAAAGTGTGAAAATATCCAAATATTCATAACGGGCCGAATTAATGGAGGCTTCCAGATGGTGTAACTGAACTGGTTAAGTTAATGACAAAGCAGGAGCTGTATTCCAGTAAGAGACATTATGTCTTTCAAAAAAGCCAACACCACTAGAAATGTCACTAATAAAAAAAAAAAAAATTACAAAAAAGCAAAAGATGCAAGATGGTCACACAGGACTGCTACAAAAAAACCCCAAACCAAACCAACAAATAAACAAAAAACCAAAAAACAAACCCACAGAAACAAAAAACAAACAAAAAAAATCCCACCAAACCAAACAAGAAAAAACAAACAAAACACCAAACCATTTGAATCTCAAAGATCATTTTTAACATCAATCCAATGCCAATGTGCTTGAGCTAAGAAAAAATTACTTTTATAGTAAGAACTGAAAGACTAATTGAAAACTGACTTTGGAGCAAAGAACAAATGCTTTTTCCACTCAAGGCAGAGAAAAAAATGCTGATGTAAAACCTTGTCAATAATTGTCTATCACTTCATATTTCTGCACACTGACTTGTTCTTTAAACCTTTTCTAGCACATACTACTATTTTACCTAAAACAGAGATGCAAACTCATTTCCTTCCAGCAAACTAGCCTGTCAAAGTTGAGGCAGCAAAAAAGTTCAGTTAAGTACAAAACGTGCCTCACTCCCTCCATCTTGTGGGCATGAATGAATGTTGCAACCACTGTGAGTCGACTCGTGCCAGAATATCTTCACATCTAGGGATACTTTCTTAAGGTGCACTTAAAAACTTGAATTTTGTTTAAATCCCTCTGTGATAACGAGCTGTCTCTCCAAAGACCTATTAAAATGAGTAGAACATATTTGGTGTTGGCATTTATTTCTCGAAAAAATCACAGAAATACAGGGCTATAAATGGAACAGAAGAGTCACACGAAGCGAGGCGTTAACTCACCCGCTGGTGATGTCGTCGGCCCTGATGTTCTTGCCCAGCACATCGCCGTCACTCATGTAACCAGTGGCGTCCATGGCGATGCCCTCGAGGTCAATGTCATCACCGGCCTTGTCAGCGATGTCCACGTGGCAGACGCTGCTGCCGCGCGTGGCCAGCTGCCGCCGCAGCGGCGCCGAGTACAGGTAGCGCGCGGCGCCTGGCTCGGCGCTGACGAAGCGGCTGGCGTTGCCCCGTGGCGGGTAGCCATTGCCCGTGGACGGCGCGTCGCCGGCCTGCAGCCGCGGGCTGGACTGGCCCAGCCGCCAGGACAGCGGCGTCGGCCGCCCCGTCAGGCTGAGGATGCTGCGGCCGCTGATCTCGGTGGTGACGTTGGTGTCAAACGTGGTCTCCAATGTGCTTGAAGGGAGAGATGTGGATAAAATCCCTTAGGGTTTTAGCTTCTATATGCTTCAATTCCTGTAGTGCTTTAGTGTATAACTCTAAACTCCATATAGAGTGTTAGTTGACTGTCTTCACATTTTGGTCAGACAAAATGATCCCTCTAGACCTGAGATTCAAAGACATCTCACTGCCTTGGGCCGAAAAGTATAAACAAAAGTGAATCGAGGGGGAGCAAACTGGGGGTATATGACATCATTACCTGAAGCTGTAATTGGAGAATTAACTGCCAATATGTAAATGGACCAAACTTATAACTATCTGAAAAACTCACGGCCATTGTCCATCTTGGGTGTAGCCTCTGGAAGGTTTCTGACTGCCCAAGGGGTGCCTGTTTGAAGGCCTTTAATAAATACCCACTTTATTCCATTAATCTTGTCTAGCCTTTGTTCCAGGTAGCCACCCCAAGGCATCAGACACACTGGATCAAATGTGGCTCTTACAGAGAACGCTGCGTGAGATTTCAGGTGCTTCCAAGACCCTGAACGCTCACCAAGTTACTGACTATACGCAACAGCACTAACAATTGACTACTGCAGCATCTGGGGAGATCCTTTCTTTTCACTTTTCAGGTCCTTCCCCCATGTTCCTAAAGAGACTCTTGTACCCAAGCCACCGGGTGCTCTACATACTTAAGAAGACTTAAGCAGGACTTTTTAATGGATTATCCACAGTATCGAAGTGTAACTTTCTCATCTTCAAGCACACATAACTCCATTACACTATGGTTTTGCCAGTCTAGGCAAGGAAGTGGGATAATAAGCTGACTAAAGGAAAACCTGCTGAAGTTCTATTTTTCTGATAGATTTCCTTTTATTGTCTGCATTCATGATAATTTTAACTCTGGAGATGTACCCAGCACGAAAGGGAAGCTACTTCTCCAAGATGAAGAGAAGTAAATGAAAAAGGTAAGAAGAAAGCCCAATTTTTTTTTCTTGAGAATATATTTTGTATATTAACAAATCAATAATGAACTATGAACTGCTTTGAAGATGTTCAAACCAAAATCAGAAAAAACATTAAATTACTTATATATTCACGAGTTACGTATATTTTAAAAAATACTGGCAATATTTATATATGAAACCCTAAAAATGGGACTACACCATGAGTTTTTAGATGATGTGTACAGATTGCAAGACTACACCCTAAATACTCATAGCTGAATTGTAGTCAATTTATTTGAGGCTAATCCATAGCTGCAACTTCTCTTACCCACATGAGCTCCTCTTTTCCTTTCCTGCTCAACTAAGTGCTACTTTTTTAAATTTATTGTGGGTATTAGTAAAAATAAACAGCATTGTACCATTCCCAATGTTACATATAAGCAAAAACCTCTGTATTCTCTGGTTATAGTAATTAAACCATGAAGAGCTGTCACATTAATTGATATTTTCAAATTAAAACAGCTTTGGGATTCATCTTTGCAAGCTCTGCTTCAGTTTTAGATACAAAGCCAAAACACAAAGTGTTCCCCCAATAAACTCATGTAGGGCTGGGGTACATAAGGCACCAAGTGTTAGGCAGGACCCCAACCTCATTAGGGGCCAAACAGCTTATTCTCCAAAACATCCTGTTAAACACTGTGAAGATCTGACTCACATAATGTTTAAATGTAATAGCAAATTTTGTTTATTTACAGCATATTTTAAATATTGCTGAAGATTTCCAAATGCTGCTTTACAAAAAAAAAAAAAAAAAAAAAGCAGTTACATTCAGGGATGACTAACAATATTAGAAGAACTTGTTTGTCCAAAGTTTGGTCAGGAATTTAAGTTATGCACTTGATAATATGGGTCAAGCACAGTTCACCTCTCACTTAAACAAAATATTACACATAGGGGGAGAGAGGTGTAATGCATTGAAGTTACTCAACAGTAAGAAGAAACATTTTAAACTGTAACTTATATTCAAACATCACCTCACACATTTAATAAGAAATGATTATTCTTGACCTTTGAGTCAATCCACACCCCATCCCATCCCATCAATTCCTCTTCATACATCTCAATAACCAGCAAACATTATTTAAATCCTGTGCATTAAAGACAAAAATCACAAGATCAGTATCTCTCACTGTCAGTGTTAGTAATTTTTCTAAGGATGCAGCCCAGGTGTAAGAGATGTAAAGCAGAAGCAGAATTCACGGAGTGACTGGGTTGGAAGAGATCTCCAAGATCACCGAGTCCAACCCATGCCCTAACACCTCAGCTAAACCATGACATCAAGTGCCACATCCATACTCTTTTCAAACACATCCAGGGATGTGGCCCCAGGCAGGCCATTCCAGTACTTTATCACCTTTTCTGTAAAAAACTTTTTCCTAATATCCAGCCTGTATTTCCCTAGATGCAGCTTGAGACTGTGTCCTCCTGTTCTGTCAGTTGCTGCCTGGTGAAAGAGACCGACCCCCACCTGACTACAGCCACCCTTCAGGAAGTTGTAGAGGGTGGTTTGCATTTTGTTATGAACCCAGAAGTGCCCTTACCTGTGGGTGACCTGGGTTCCCCGCAAACTGGACATGGTTTCCTCCAGGTTCTGCCGAAGGTCAGCGATGTTCTTCACAGTTCGCAGCCGCCGTGTCTCTGGGTCCTCTCCTGCAGGGAAAGGAAGCCATGAGTAAGGACCAAGCAGGGAACAGCACAGAACTGAGCTGCTGCCTATGCCTGACTCAAATGCACTTTTTACTGACTTTTTAAGCTGGTTAGGATTGAGATTCCATTCCCCTCAGCAGGCACCTGCCATCATCACATCCTGACTGAAATGAGCTCTGCAGGGTTACCCTCATTGCACAGGCTGCCTTTGAGATGTTGCCGACTCAGTTTAAATTCTGGTTAACTTTCAACCTCATTAGAATATACACTCCATCAACACCACCCTTTCTGTCTCATATATTGACACAATTAACATTAACCTGACACAGGCAATTTCTCCAATGCTGTGTTTTCACTAGATCTTCTTTGTCCTATAATAACAGCTTTCCACAAACTAAACTGTGCTGACTGGGTGGCTGCTCCATGCTAAGTGATGTTCAGGTAAAATAACAAAAGGTCTTGCTTGTCAACATAACACAGTTACTGTTCCTAAAATGTGCTACATGACACAAAGTTGGGGGATGACTTAGTTTTCATGGCATTTAGAAATCCTGTTCTTTAAATACTTTGTTCTAAAACACATTCATGTCCTGCTCCTTAAAAGTAGAGTTTATGTACACAAAAAATAAGGTCTTTCTACTGTTTTAGCATAATTTCATTTTATCAAATTAATAATTTAATTAGTGCTTCAGCATAATTTATTTATGTGCTCTCAGCTGTCAATTCAGAAATGCTTTTGTTGCTACCTCAGCTGAGCTTTATAGGGTTAAATCCTCTAAGAGGCTAAAGAGATGTGAATTTCTAGTAGTGCCAGCCTATCCTTTGCAAGCAGAAAGCTGAAACAGTAAACCTCAGAAGAATTGTCACACAGCTTCTGTTGGGCACAGAAAGAAATTCTTTCATTCTAAAGGGTTTACAACTCATGACTAAAGAAAATATCACAGCAAATGTAAAACTTTTCACATTTTGTATCAGCCTTCTCTGTACAAGTGATGCATTTTTGAGCTGCCAGGATGCTGGGCACCCACACAGTTGCTCGTTTGGATGGATATCTATACATTACACACATCAGAAGTGTGAAGAACCATATAGAAAAAGCTGTTGTTGCAACTTTCTACATTCTCTGCTTTAAATTTCATGTTTCTAAAAGATGCCAGATTGGTGGCACAGAAAATCCCACTCGCACACTGTTGCCGACAAAGCAGCAGTGCTACAAACTACTGACCAAAATGCTCAGTGCCCATGTGATCATTTTTCTTTTAATCAGTCTGTACTCTCTGGGAAATCATCTCCTGAGTTACAATTCACTTAAGCCAGAGGGTCAAACAATTATGGTCTGGCTGGACTGAAAACATCCACCTAACAAGACTGATTACTTCAGCCAGTGGGTCTCTGGGACAGAAAACATTTTCTATACTCATGGATCTACAAATTTTTTTAGTAAAAAACATAAAATATTTATAGGCCTTTAGCTTAATAAATGCCACAGTGCTCTTTTACAGATCATTTCTCTCACAGATGTGAAGGCAAATTGTAGGTAACTTCTTAGGAAAACACACAGGAGACAAACTAAAGCAACTTCTGCTGAGATCACTCTTATGCCTACATTGATACCGAATTTTCACTTCAATGACATTCCACTGCTTAAATTGAAAGTATACTTTAAAGACAGATATTGGATAGTTGGCCCCTAGAGCTTAATTCTGAAATCACTTAGCTCCTCATGAGCAGGCAGCATCCTTAAGCAATTCCGCTTCCATTCTTCCCTACCTATGCTCTCTTTTGTTTTATATGTCATTTTAAATTAACAGCATCAATAGCTGCTATGCAGGGAGAGAAGATATCTGTGCCTTATTTCTTCTATTTTGTTTGGGCTGAGGGACTATTTTGTTTAGTTCTGTTTCCCCCCAAGGCCCCTCCATGGATGCTGCTGTCTGTCTGGCTGTGCACAACTACAGTTTGCATCTCCCTTGTTTGAGTTTTTCAGCTGTCTTCCACCTCTGAATCCCAAGATGTACATATTCTAGTTGAGTAATAGTTATGTAACATCTGTCATTAAAGACTGAAGACTTTTTGTGATCCAGAAACACTTTTCAGTGCAGGCTGAAATACATCCAGCCCAGCCAATATGATGATTAAGAGGCAATGCTGAAAAAGTTTAAGCAGCTGGACACTGTGTTTCTTACTTGCAACTCTCATATTTAAATATGAACCCAAAAATGTTCTCAAGGATTTTATCCCTTGTGCCTTTTATCTGCCTTTTAAGTACTTAATTCACTTATGTATAAATTGCACACACAGATATGTTCACTTAGGCATTCCTGCAGCCCTTTTCCTCACCAGTGACTCTGCCTCTCACCTTTGCCATCAGCACACAGGTAGTATTGAGAGAATATGCAATGCAGTATGAAATGAATCTCCTTGTGAAACTTTTAGCCACATCACTTTTCCAAGGAGGGCATTTGGTTTCAAACCCCACATTAAACTGGGGGACACCAAGACTAAGCAGATGGAAAAAAACTGAGAGATTCTACAGATGAGATATCCTGCAATAGCACACAGTAAGCAAAGTCATAGATATTGCTGAAATGGGGACAGGAGGCGATCAGACCATGACCTTAAAAACACATTTTAGATCATATTAGTAGAATCTAGTATATTCTAACCGAATATGGTTGCTGAAAATCACTGTGTGATATTGGTAAGCTTAATTTATTTTTTTAACTAGCATATACTTTTTACAGCAGCAGGAATTCTAGATATATATATATACCAGGTGCTTTCTAATTTAGACTACTCATATTCTAGCCACAACCAATTTCAGCTTCTGTATACTGGACACAATAGAGTGTAGTTGGATTTTGGTGCCCTATTGCTGCAAAGGCTGTTTCTCAAATTGATCAGATTCATGTGAGTGATAGTAAAATTCCTCCAACCCAAAACATCAAGGAAATGAACACAGTCTGTTCTGTAAGCTCCAAAATGAAGTTTTTAAATCTAAACAATGCATATGAAATACTTAAGAATTATTAGGATCCTTATAGTAGTTTAATCCTAAAAAATGCTGCACATCTCATTAAGCAGGCAGAATTCCTGGTGATTTCAAGAAATTTGGGGAGCACACTTGTGCTGAACTTAAGCATCTAGAGTTCAAATTACTGACACTCAGTTCACTGCTGAAGAGCTGAAAGAAATAGAGTTATTAAGAATGAAAACAGTAGGAATAAAATCAACTTGGTCCAGCCCATTCTTATTTAACCAGACCACAGCCAGTAATGGGTCATGCTGCAAGACCTACCTGAGAGGTCCTCAAGGGCAGACTGGGCAGTTTTGACATAAAGAGCAGAATCCATGCTGACTCCTCCTGTGCTGGCCTCGGCTGTTACGTTCCCTTCATTGTCTGTCTGAGATCTGGAAAACAAAACAAAACAGGGATGTGCAGCCACTCTCCATCCAAAGTAGCTCAAGTTTAACAACAAGACGAGTGCACCTGCCATCAGCCACTCTGTCCCACTCTCCAGAACACACCAGCAGACTGCTTTTACATAATTCATTAGTCCCATGTTGAATTATGTCCTAGAAATGCAAACAAGCACTCAGCTGTAAAAAATAAAAAATTCATAGTCGAAGATAGGCTTCACAGCTCATCAGATGGGGTCTTAAAACACTTGGATTTCCAGATGTATCTTAATTATCAATAACATCAATTGTTGTGGCTAATCTGATCCTCTCCAATAAAGTCTGTATTGCATGAAGATAAAGCAGGGAGCATGTGATGTAATGTTACACTCCTGCTAGGTTCTCTTCAACATCACTTCCATTTTAAGAGAAATGACTGGGCAAAACCAACTTCAAACTCCAATTTATTTTCCGATATTATGGCTGTCAGGCAATGAAAGGTGATGTAAGGATCACCTGTCAGATTTGAGTAAGATACTGTGACTCACTTCACTTTACTAATTGTGCTGTGTTTTGCTCATAGAGCCACACCAACAGGCAGCTCCTGCCCCAAGGGTAAGTGCTGCTGTAGAAAAGAAAAGACACAGTGGGGAATTACTATTGCAATGCTCCTAATTTCACCTGACTCTTATAGCTGGATGCTCTGCCTGGAGTGGGGGTAAAACAACAGGAACGATGCCCTGTTTACAGAGTTGTCTGTGGCAGAAGGAGAAGGGGCCTCTTGCTGCTTTTGGTGCTGAGGAACACTGAAACCAGCCTGACTCATCAAGCCCAGAGTCCAACCTCCCCACAGGGAGGTGAAGATGTGGCAGACCTGGTAAAGTGCCCGATAAAGGAAACAACAATGACACCACTGATAACTGGAGGTGCTGGGCTGACACAGCTGGCCAGGATACACATGACTGATGGTCACTTTGCACTATAAAAGCCCAATCCCACTCTTTAATGACAAGGTTTTCTAACACACCCCTCCTTTGAGTATGTGCAGAGTCCTCCTTGAGTGGAGACATCCTGCAGGATGAGCAAAAGAGATATGCCCACAATTATTGGTATGGGTGAATAACATCAATCTCTACTGCTTTTAATATAAGTGCTTTTAATATAACTTCAACATAATTCCTTTGATATTGTTTCAATAATAGTGAATTATACTATACTAGTAATCATGGCTGCCTGTACTGTGTAGTAAATAATTCTGATTGAGAGCTATTAGTCTAATCATTATCAAAATTAATCATTTATTTTCATATAAATATATCTGGTTTGCCATCCTTAATCCTACAGGACAGATGAGTTACATGAAGTTCAATTAAATCTATACAATCCTTCAGACATGAACAAAGTTGGCAAAGTTTGGTTTCATTCCTGGTTTTTGTAAAAGGTCAAAAAAATACTATGCAGTGTTTATCAGTATGTTTAGATTATAGAAAATGTATGGACTGCATCTGCTTTTGCACATTAGATAATTATATCTGTGTTCAGACTAAGATCAATACCAACAATGAGGGGACACGATGGTGATAAACTTAACAACACATCTCCAAAAATTTCTGCTTCCCAGGTCCCCTGCCATTTAATTCTACACATACAAGGAGAATTCTCAAAGGAGTCAGAAGACTCAAGAGTTGCTCTTCCTATTCTGCATTCCTACACAGGCCTTTGGCATCACTCTCCTTCAGGTTCATTCCACTGACATTCACTCTTATTCAAAAAATGTGACTGACCATTTTTTATGCTACATCAGCCAAGAGATCCAAGGCAGAAATGTGCACAGTAGAGCTGAAAAAACCATGGTACAGGGCAACAAAAATTACCAAAGATCATGAACAGAATTTCTACAAGTGAAAACAAAAGAGGCTAGGACACCTTAGCCTAGAAACGACACATCTTAAGGAAGGGAAGGAGGTGAGAAAGCTCTTTCAGATCAGAAGCAGCAAGAAGATTAAGACAGAGCAAACACTTGCGTCCTCTTCCTATGAAAGAGCTAAGCAGTGTCATGAAACCCCCATGAGATGGCTGTCCAAACCAAAAATCGCATCCTCTGACTGAGAAACTTGTGTCCCAGTCATACTGTGTCCTTAAGAATCCCTGCTACTGATTTCCCTCTTGTTACTTCCCTGCTGTCCCTGGGATACTTCCCTTATGTATCCTCTACCGCCACTGTCACAAAGAAGGTACTTCAAATAGAAGATTGACTAGACAGAGCTTAGCTGTGACTGCCTTTGGCTGCTCTTTCCTTGTCTCAGGGTTAACACATACAGCAGCACAGACTTCTTGTCTGGCCTTACTTAAATGAAAGTATTTTTATTTTAATTTTTTTTCTTTAATTTCCAATTCCTGCTTATAGTAAGGCAGCTCCACCACTGTCAGCCACAACAAAGATCCCGAGAGCACCTTGGCATTGTTACAACTTTCAAAGCTATGGTGCACAAAACAAACCTGATACATGTTCTTGTACCCTTCAGAAGAGCAGCACCTGGTCAAGGAGGTGTTCAGATTGCCATCTTTCCTGCTAGTAACGTTGGACACAACCATTATTCCCCCTCCTGTCTATCATAACTTCTCATACAGCCTTCACCACCAGTTTTTGTGAAAATGCATAAATTGCCTACACTCTTGAAGCAAGAGCCTTGTAGCATTTACCTTGCTGCTTCGCCCCCCTGGAAGTGTCCAGAATGATCCTTCTGGGCCGCCCGCTCCCCCAGCCCCTGGGGCGTGTCCCGTACCTGTACATGAAGGGTGCGACGGTGGCGGTGTTGGGGTGGCTGTACTGCTGCTGGGGATGAGGTAGCTGCACGCTCACGGTGTTGCTGCCCGTGCTGTGCGTGGTCACCGCGGGCCCGCTCACGGCCTGGCTGCTGCTGCTGCTCTGCAGGCCCCCGACGCCCTTCCCCTCGGAGGAAGCCAGGCTGGAGGAGGAGCTGGAATGACGGCCGTCCAGCTGGGACTTCTGATGCGAGAGCCCCATGCTGGCTTTCCCACCACGGCTCCTCTCGCCTTCCTTTGCAGGAACAGGGGCACTTGAGGATTTCCCTGTGGTGTTCTTCATTCCTGGTTTTGGTATTCCGCTGTGCGAAGGGGCAGAGGCCTCCTTCTTGGCACTGTTCAGCTTCCCTCCTTTAGGGATAAAGCTTGCAATTTTGGAGGACTTTTTTGGCATCTCTGTTGTTGCTGTCTGCGCTGTCTGTTCTTCTTTAGGTTCCTCCTTCAGCTCCAGCTTCTCAGTGATGGATGTTCTCTTTGTAATGTCTTTACTTTTATCCTTTTCTTTCTCTTTTTGTTTCTCTTTCTCCTTCTCATTACCCTTTGGAGAACTTTTCTTATTAGTTAGCGCGCGGCTGAAAGTCCTTTGTGCAATTCCCTTGAGAGCAATTTTTGGGCTGTTGGACATCGATCCTGGGTTGTTCACATTCTGGTTGGTGGCATCGATTTCTTCGCTCTCCTCAAAGCTGAGAAGCGCCTCCAGCTTTTCACAGCTGCTGTCCCGAGAGCCCGGACACTCTGGCGTTGTCCCAGACACTCCTGCTTTGGAACCCCCTTTGCTGTTGAAGAGTTTTAGTTTTTCCAGCATGGATTTCTGACTGTTGGGAGCTGTTTTGGTGATTTCCGATGGCTGCTTTGGAGGCTCCACTGCTGGCTGCTTCACAGATAGCATGGAAGACGTTGCTGTGTGCTTGGCACTGAGGGACTTGCTGCGCCAAGGTTTAATAGCAGAGCTGGGCTGAGGGATGGCTGAGGAGTTATTGCAAGGAACAGCACTGCCGCAGCTTTGAACTGAGGATGAGACATTTTCATTCATTCCTGTGGGCTGGGAGGCCGTGCTGTCTGCAGGCTCTAGAAAAAAAAACAGAGAAAACAACCCAATAAATCAACACAGTAGTACCTGGTATTAGAGTTACTATGAGATACTTTCTGTAATGAAACATCAAGAATTTCACATTGACAACATTAAAAAGAGAGATTAATATTTTCAATATCAGTGAAACTCAGAGAAAATAAAAGCCAGCTTCCTTTTCCTACCCAGCACAGCAAAAATGAGCTCCTACTTATAATTTGCATTTACTTGCTGTTTCAAGAAAAAGAAGGAAGAAAAAGAACCTCTTTCAATTCAAACCAAAATGTGTTCTGCAATGTGCTCTCCCTTATTAAGCCCACAATACTTTTTCATTAGCAAAAAGACAGCACTATTTTGTAACTAAGGGTTCCCTCTGCTTTTGGCAAAATACTTGCTGTCCAAGTTTGATTCTCAGAAAAACCTCAAACATTAAAAAATGCAGGAGTAAGGAAAAAAGTAAAACTAAAGTCCTTTCAGTTATTGGGGGCAGGGGTGGTAATATCTTCACAATGCAAAGAAGAAAACTCCATGTACAAAAATAAAACCAATTGTACCCTTTTGTAAAGAACCTAAATTAAGTACTACCACATAGCCTAATACAGCTGTAAGAGAAACTTGTGGCAGTAACTGTACAGCCCTCCCCCACAAAGAAAACAAATCTATTATTTAGTTAATTCCTCCTAATATTATTTGTTCTTATTAAGAAATTAGTTCTGAGCCTAAAGAGAGCTTGAAAAATCACACTCACCTACCAGTGGCCACTTCTCTGAATCAGTTCCTCTTTGCAGAGTTTCCCTTTTGAAGATGTTACTCTCTCAATTATCACAAATATGTTTTCTGTTAAACTGCTCATGTTTCCAATTAAATTTTGTCATCTGTGTCTGTTCGCCTGCCCAGCAGCCTGCTGGGGATTAACGGCTCTTACCTATATTTCCCTGCCCTCCAGCACGAAAGTAAACTGTGTACAGAGCTGCATTTTTTTAATTCAAAAATCAACAGCAGTGGAGAGCGCGCGTCCTCGGCAGCAGGAGCAGCCCTGTGAATCCAGCCCTGTAAATCACGAGCTGCTGCAGCCACACAGGGACTGTTTTACTTCACTTTCAGTTGCCCAGTGAAGATACAGCTCTGTTAACCTCCCTCCTCTGATCCAAACAAGATCTACTGAAGATTTAAGTCACATACATCTTCCTGACTTAGCACAGAATCAAGTTTCTAAGAGTATTAGAGACTACTTAATAATAAACTCAGCCATTTCACATGGTTATGGACAAAGTGAAATAGCAGGAACTAATGATACTTTTAAAACTATTACTGAAGTCAGAAGATTTCCAGGACTCTTAACCAGTAACTAACTATTATACTGGCTGGTTTTCCTAGTACTTTTCCTATGACCAAGTACCCACATGGAGCTGGAAGGAATCAGGAACTGGGTTACAGACACAGACAGGAATCACACTGCTTTTAAACTTGTGCCATCTGCTGGCTTCCAGGGTATTGCTCCTGTTTAACACAGAAGGAAAATCAAGCCACCAAATATCTCAAACAGCGATACCATCTGGCCTCTTGCTGCTCTGCTCAAGCCTGCTGAATTCAACCTTTGTTAAGGAGGACCAAAAAGATAATGGCACAGGAATCAGAGAATCATTAAGGTTGGAAAAGACAACCAAGATGGAGTCCAACCATTAACACTGGACTGCCAAGCCCACCACTCAACAACATCCCTAAGCACCACACCTAGACCTTTCTTTGAGCTCTTCCAGGGATTCCACCACTGTGAGAGGAGTCCCAGTGACCTCTAGTGTGACCTGACACGGTGCCCTGACACAGACACAGAGAGGAAGAAAGGTGACAACCTCTTCACAAGCTGCCAGCAAAGTTCCTCACTCTGCTTTCAGAAGCTGCACCACTGCTCTTTCCTTCATGCCTCTTACCGTACACTGCTGATTTGTTTTTGTTTTCATTTCCTGAAGTCCTCCTGCTCATCACAGTCCACTTCCCATCCCCACACCGCACCAGGCTCCTTTTGCATACTCAGAACAAGCAAGCCTTTGTCTCAGCCCACCTTCCACAGAAGACATCCAGCAACGAAGTGAAAGCTTCGTGAAAATCCCAATTGTGCATATTGTACAGTTCATTTGTATAGATTATTTTTTAAAACAGTAATAGCCCATCTCAATATTGAGATATTGCTATAGGAACTGGAGATTGACAGTACTTTCAACACTAAGTTCCTAATCCAATTCTGGCCTCATCATGGTAAACAAATCTCAGCACAAAGAACAGCCATGCCCAGAAATCACCACAACTGTCTGGAATTCATGAACATGCCTAGGACGGATTTACAACCAGGTCCTGGGATGGACCCAATGTACTGATCAATATGGGCAGGGAAGCCTTCACTTGCTCAGAAAAACAGGACTGGGGCAATAGAAGGGTGACAAAATAAAAATTACCAGTAAGGGTTGTATCTATAAAGTAGAAGAGTTGGCTGTACACCCTGTTGGGACAACATATGCAGGCACAAAAACTCAGCTCATGGTCTGAGCATGCAGACGACTGAGCAGATTTTTTAGGAAAGAAATCTGCCTTCTCAAACACAGGTGCTTCACAGGAGTTTGAGAACCATACAGGAAACGTGTGTATGGGATGGACAAAGCCAGGCTGCATTCCCCAGCACTGAGAGCCTACACAAAGTCACTCACCTGAGACAAGAGAGACCTGAGAGCCAGGTCCATAACTTGCTCAGAAGTCTGACCCTGTCTCAGACACTGAGCTGGTCGTTAGGTCAGGCACAGCAGCAGAGGCCACCACATCGAAACAGGGCTCTGACCAGCTCCACAACTTTCTTCTGGAACTGAATGGAAGGGGTTGCTTGATTTGGGACCTCAACTACATCCTAACAGCACAGATGAATGCTGCAGTTCACAGACTTCTGGGAAAAGATGCTTGGCTTGGATCAAGTGAAATGGCTTGCTTACAAATCCCAAAGCATTGCTCAAAATCTATTTCCCAGCAAAATCCAGAACTTTTCAATTTCTCCTTTTTTTTTCATTTAAATGTTTTCATGGAATCTATTTATTTATTTATTTATTTATGTTTGGTCACTGACTGAAATATGTTTTTCCCAGTTTACTTGTTTATAAACACAACGCTCTCTTTGTCCCAACGCCCCCACATACACCCTCCTGTCTGGAAGTGAATTTTGCTTCCGTTGCCAGTGGCGTAGGAGGAGCACAGTGCAGCTCCATTTACAGACATGTCAGAGAACCCAGAATTAGGACAATACTATGACTGTAACACTAAAAAAATAGAATATATTGCAACAGTAATGTAATTTTCAGAGTGTCTACTTAACATTTTCCACAAAGTGAATTCTGCGAATACTGAATGTATGCACCTCAAATGAATAAAAAATATTCACAAAGTTTACAGTTAAGCAGCAACATTTTGGGAAAGGAAAGAAGGTACTTTCTTACACAGCTGCAGTGGATTTTGATTTGTACTTGGGTCAAATACAGTGAAACTAGAAACTGAACATCCTCAAGTGATTTATTACATTGCACCACGGCACCACGCACAGTTACCACAAGAAATTAAAGGCTCACCCTAAAATGAAAAATTGCTCCAACTTAAGAAAACTTCAGGTTTTCAGACTCTCTGTTTCTTCTTTACAAACAAGTGCTGGCTCTTTTACTCCTCTGGCCAAGTTTGGTAAGCAAAAGGAGTTCTGCTGCCAGAATGCAGCTTCAAATGCTGGGTTTCCTAATGAAGCAGCAACATCAATTCGTGGAACACACATCAGCATGCAAAGGGGAAAGTTTTATTCAGCATAGCATAGACCCTTCTTTCATGAAAAGCAGAGCAGGTTTCATGCATTCAGTTAATAAGCTTATTATTTCCCATGTGTTCCTTTGTGAGGGAGGTATTTTCTTTCTTCAGCAACCTGCATTAACTAAAACTGACTATAAAAGAAATGTTTTCAAACTCGAGCTACAGTTTACAATAATAATGATCACTTTCCTCTTTTCAAAGCCAAATCCTGGCCTGAAATCTATTTTGTTCCTAGTGTTCCTGTTAAAAAAGATGTTGGTGGTCCATTTCCAATGCCAATACACCCTGTAGCATGGGTAAATCTGATTTCAGCAGCTCCTGCAAAGACTGAACTGCATCTGCAAACCCACCCGTGTGTGAAGAAGAAAAAAAAGGATCTGAAGGCTTATGATTTAATTCTTCCACAGAAGTCTTTGAGAGCTTATGCTATAATAAGGTCAAGAGAAAATATATGCAATTTTCCATCATTTCTCATGTTCACTCTAAGTAAGTGGACTTTGATTTGCTATAACTGAAAACTTTCAAAATCCATCATTATAAGCATGAAAGGCAACACACAGACAAAGGATGTTCTCATAGTAACTCTCCTTAGGAGGGTCAATAACTGAACAGCATTTTTACTGATTTTTGAATGAACAAACTTTTATTTTTTATTTCACAACTATGGGAAAAGTTCTTATAAAGAGAAATATCTTTTAGTCCAGCCTATAGATTAGATAACACATATGAAAGCAAATCCACAACCAGATTCCAATTTAGGAAATAAAAGCAGCTCTGCTCTGTGACATTACAGTGTCAGAACTGCAGAAACCACTGTGGCAGTTTCATAATTTCCCATCTAGAAGAATAAATGGCAAATCTTGACCCCTGTAATCCACCCACCAGAAGACTCTCCTTTAAAGCACTATACATAAAGTCCTACAGAAACTTTTTAGCCGAGTTGTTCTCTTCTCCAATGATCATTTATCAAACCCTGTAGGTATGGAAATGTCTGCATTCCTGCCAGGAACCAACTATAAAAATCCCAATCTTTCCATAAACCCAAACCACAAGCAGGTAGAGCAGAACATTCCCAACAAGAGCGACCTGGCACTCAGTCCCTCCTCAAAATAAGCACAACTCTTGTGGCCCACAGAAATTTCCATTTCAATTTCCACTGTAAGACTGG